TCAATTAACATTATGCGACCTTCGTAATACTAGTAAAATATGACCACTACATGAATTCACACAGATGAGCTAAGCATAAACCGTCCTGGCAGCATCTAGTTGAACCAAGGGCGGATTTCAGACTTTCCAGTAGGCGTTACTTTAAGACATCTAAAAGCAGTGAAATGTGAGTGACGCTGGGTAATAATGAACCATTTGACAACGTTTTGTCTCAATACGAAGGACTACCATTTATAGTCGGTGTTTCTGGCCAATGTGAGGGTTCTACATTCAGGCGTAAAGCGTAGCAGATGGGCACGTCTCCTACCCGATCGATGATTTCGTCTCTCATTTAGCTAAATATATCCGTAAAAACAAGATTCTATTGAATTCGAAGCTTGATGGGACCACTCTGGGTCTCACTTGCAAATATAATGCTCTGTTCAGGATAAAAATTGCAAGGTTGATATAATGATCTTTATATTTTTTTCGTCTATTTCATTTATGTACCAAATAAAATAACTTTTATGCTCATATTGACTTATCATAGCGTAGGCGTGTACGTGTAAACGCTAAATACAGAGCGACTGATGATCTCGAAATAAATTCTATTTACAGTTAAGTTCTCTAGTTCTCCAGGAGGCTGACTGCATTGGTAGTGCATGCTGAAGGTCTCTACTAGGCTTTATGAAATATATAACGAAAAAAATGTATTGCCTATGGGCAGATACTTTGTTACTTCTGTAAACGCTACTTCACGACAAACCTGATCACTCTTTCAAACGGAGGTATATCTATTGTTTTGCTGAAAAGGCTTGTAAATTAAAATTATATTTTAAATTATTTCGAGCAAGAACATATTCCTCAAGACGCCTGCGTTTAAAAAAATCAACAACTTGGCCTGATGCATTGCGTAAGAGTAAACATTGAAAATGAACATCTGGCACAAAACTCAATTATTTGAATTTTCATATAGTCCTTCATAAATGTTTGAAACCCAATGTCTTTAAGAGGTTAAGCAGTGACTAAGTAAGGTTCAAAGTCATATTGGGACAGAAGTTGCTCGTATCTCCAAAGGTCTGCATCGGCTTACCTGATATGATTCTAAGCCTATCTTCGGCTGACGTTGTGTCTTCAGCGAGTATAACTTCCTCTGTTGGGATCAAATAGAGAAAATATGTAAAGAACACAGGCATAACGTAAATTTGTTGCATACACATAAGAAATTTTATACAAAATCAATGGATACCATAATAAAGTGTCATTCAAAATATGCAGAGTTAACATTGACTCCAGGCATGTGGACAGTGCGAAAGGAAAAGCAGCTGAAGACGTTCAGGATTGAAAAGCAACAACAATATTAATAATTGCAATTGATTTTGTGAATTATTAGTGGATTGCTATTTGAAGCAGTAAACACATAACTTACCTGTTCGTGTTGGATAGACCCTATCTAGCGACCTGAACCCGTGACCAGATCATGCATTTCGTCTCAAAATTCGGTAAACCTCATAAATAGGTATGGGTACATGTGCACGTTTCCGTTACGATGTTACTTGCATACTAATGTGGTGCTCGTTCATAAAAGGAATCGCCGATTCGCCTTGTTCAACGTTCTGTTTCTGAGAAATCAGTATCTCGAAACATTTTTGCTATTACAAGGCGGAAATGTATAGCAGACACTAATATCTATATCCGCAAAACCACCAGTCAAATTTCTCCGACTATGAACTTCAAGTTTTCCTAATTAAAGCTTGTAATTGCTTGCGCAAATTACACTACCTATTTCCATATATTGAGATAATTAAAAATTGCAAATAGATTGCCAGTTTAACTGCGTTTAAGGAATTGTGATCACTTTTGTGTTACGAATTTACGCGTGTTGAAGATTTTGACTACTGACCACTATTTCCGCACATTTTATAGAGCTATGTTGCAGAAACACAAAATGGTGGTTTAATATCGGTGCTAAATGTCAACATGGACCGTCACAGTCCACTCTAGCAACTGTGATGCATCCATTTATAAATTCTCAACTCATCTTTAATGGCATATTTAGAAGAAAAATCGAAAGTTACTAAAAAGAACAAAAGTAAACAATGACCGAGCAAGACTAGGTGTTCTTATTCAAACGAGAGTTGCATTCCACAGCGCAAAGTCAGTCATAAGAGCCTTCTAAAAGCATCTTTACTGAATACGCAATCATAAGAGACCGCAACAATATTGTCCAATGTTCGTTAAATCCGCTTGTCGTTAAAACCGCCGTATTTTTCCCGTTAAGTACAGGAAGTGATGGGGTGTAAAGTATAATGCTTATGGGAGTTATAGTTCACCAGATTCCTTAGTGAACTTTTTTGGAGCGGTCTCTTTAATGTTTTACGTTTTCTATTTAGCCCATGAATACTAATTTAAGTAACGCTACGCTTGATTCATTCTGTTCGAATGAGAAATCCTAAAGATTATTTTGCTTAAATAGTATATGACACATTACTACGATATACCAAGAAACTCAAAAGGTAAGTACCAAAGGAGCTGGACTGAAGAGCTTGAAAAAGCTTTAGTTGCTTCAAGCCTTGAGATATTATTCCGCTATTTTGTTTATTAATATCTAGTTGGTTTAGTATATGTTCATACTTAGAATTCATGCTGCAAAATATGTAAAGAACTACATTCCTATTTATGTACAAGAATAAAATAATACAGATGGAATTTTAGGATATGGTTTGAATTGCCCAAAATATTAACGAACAAGAATTCGCTTACCGCCTCATTTCAGGTATAACTTGGATACGGGCTTTCTTCTTAAAAACTTTCTTCGTAGTGTACAGAGTAATGATGAAGAAATTAAATGCCATTTTAAGTAAAATACGCAAACGTGGAATGGACGATAGGGAACGGCACCATATTTACATTGGGCAAAATGCTCAAGCGCCCCTTAGTTTTGCCGTTGAATTTGAAGAGTTATTTTGTGTTTGAGGCGTACGTATATAAATGAATTTAAGAAGAAAAAGACGCGATCTCTGAAACAGGAGTTTCATTCGCCTCATGCTTTCGATTCAGAATCAAACTTGTCATCTGAGTCCGCAACGGATACAGCTACGGAAAGCATATTGATTGTCGTAATTATCGAATGTAGCTGTCATGCCATTGTACGCCTGGTCAGATAACTAGCTCGCGTATTCACTGCAGGTAGTTGTAGTTCAAACGAAAATGGCTCGATCGTTCTCGGCCGAGTCGTTAATTTTAATGGCTTCATCAATCAGTTCATTACTGATGTCATAACTAATCGGTACTTTGACCCATTTGTTCTGCAACCATTTTGCATCCATTGCCTTTGTCTGATGCTGCGTTTCAACATGAATCCGAGACCTCGGGTGACTAAATTATTGTTTTAGTGAGCGTATCTCCCTCTCCTCTAATGTTTACTACAACAACCATGTGTGCTTGTATTTTCAGAAAGCTTAATTCGTGCTAACAAATTTTACGACTCTTTCACTTTTTCTTTTCGTAAAGAATACTCAACTTCTTTTATTTCCATTAGTTAGCAACGAAAACACCCGAACTGTAGTAACTAAGTTTCTCTGTAGTGGAACGTAATTCCGTGGGCGCTAGTTTTAAAGTTACATTGCGAATAAGTGTTTCAATTGAATTTTAAAGCACGATGTCTTATAAATCAACCGTAAACTTATGCAGCCGAAAATATACCTACATGGCTAAATTGTATCTATAAGAGAAAATAAGACCATATATATTGCGCCAGAGACTCAAAATATAGAGTATTTGCCCTCTGCTCTAGTGCCAATTTTTCGAAAAACTGCAAACATCTATTTTTCTGTAACCACTCGGCCGAGTGTATGGATACCTTACCTAATTTTGCGGCCAAATCTGACGTTAGCACGCACTTTTATAATTGGAGTAATGACTCTGGATTTCTTACCATACTGCGATGTACTTCTTTATTTATCTCAGTGACTTGTCGTTTACACTTGTCAAACAAATTCTGGAATGCAAAGCAACTGAATTTTGCCAAAAAAATTATGGCCAATAAAAACGACTTTTCTGTATTTTCTAGTAGACCAAACGATTATAGCCCTTCAGTCGCATTTTGTGCATACACCTACACCGAACACGAGTAAGTTAACATAAGGCGACATGCAAACGCAATTCCGTTAAACATCCAAATCGTAAAATTAAACAGAGTTCAGAATATAGAGCTCCTGTGTGAGATTTAGACATGAAGGTTGACTGCATGAGACAGCCACACTCCTTTATGCAACGATCTGGAAAATTTAATAATTCACTATTTTAGCACAAAATGACTGCGATATTATACTCAACATCCCCGAAAATATAAAAAACATATAGTTCAAAAATGAGCACTAGGTAAATTATAACAAAAAAATTAGGTGCCGTTATTTGTTGATTTTCAAATAAATAAAAGGTTTATTCTATCTGTTTCTTATAAATGCAAAAGAGATACAGATATGCATTCTAGCCCCTTCAGCATAATTTGGAATTTCAGAAATTGATACTCAACTCTGTTTAACCACTTTAGTTCAAGTAAACCAATTAACGAGCTTCCTTTAAGTTGATTACACAAGAGCATAAGAAACGCAGTACACAAATTGTTCTTAATTTTCAGGATTCAAAGTTCCGTTGGTTCCATTCGTTATATATAATATCCTCTACCTATGTAGTGTTACTTCAAAATTTAAATGCATTTTAAAGGTTTCTTTTTGTTCATTATAAGTAGCCACATTATATAATATCCGCATAGAAGGGTACTGGAAAGTATTAAACAATATATCTGTAGTATCATATTTATGCTTGCCTGCATGCTGGATCCAGTCCATATATCCACTAAATTCCTTTTCTGTTTGCTGCTGTCTTCGTAGTTTTAAAAAGGCTCTGCGCTTTTCCACTCGTTCCTTTTCCTTTGCGAATTCACTGTGAAAGGTTAACAATACATTTTATTTAAGAAACTCATGTAAAAACGATATTTTGAGCAGATAAATATATTTTTATAAAACGTTTCGTATATCTGAGGAATCGCGGCCAGCAATTGCTGCAAAATATACGCCTTGCTCTCGACAAGAAGTCGGCTGTAGCATAGGAGGTACGATAACTAGACCGTCAAAAATTATTTCTCTGGTCATGTTCCTAATGCAACAATCCTTATTAGAATCGTCTCAGTCTATAGATAAATGGTGTCAGGGTAACCTCATTGTCAGACACACACGTGCAGTTGATAAGCATTTTAACAGAATTAAGAAAATAAAAGTTTTTTCACTTACCCGCTTAAGACACCAAGAATCAGGTTGAGCATGAAAAATGATCCCAGGACAATTAATGGAACGAAGTAGAGTGCGTTAAAGCGATCGCCGATAGCGTCGTCCGTCTAGATAAAATAAACATAAGTTCAGCATATGTGAAAAATTGCATGTGTTTTCACTTAATCTTTAGTTCCACCTACAAAAGGTTATTGTCAATGCAGCATATAAGGTGGAGATAAATCCGTTCAGTCCTGCAATTTTAACTGATACGTTTGTTTGATTTATGGGGTTTGTATACAATATTACATTTACAATTCTTCCCATTTGATTTTGTTTTTGAAAAACGTTTTAGATAACTGTAAACTGCTTAACAGGTCTTCTTCTAGGCTTTCATAATTACTGTTCTGAGAGTGGAGACCCTTCGTACAAATCTCCAAGGAAAATTTTCAAATTTTTATTTTCCACATACTTGAACTGTTTAACAAAGGCGAAAGGTCTCAAACATATTTTTCGCATTTGGCAATAGCAGTTCCCAGGCTACACTGTTATTATGTGGTTATGGTCAAAATAGACTTTGCTTTGGATGCTTTTGAGAGGACTGAAATTTTTCTCCAAAGACTTTTCTCGGAGAAACCATGAAACTAAACGCAGTCCGTATAAATATCAAAGCATCGCCCCATTTAAATGTCGCCTGAAACTAATTTTGCTCCTACAGAAAAATTGTACTTTATGGTGCCAAAGTGCTGTGCGCTCTAATTTTTGATAAGTAAATCTATTTACCTTTTAATAGTTTTAATTCGGTGCTCAAATTTAACAATAAGAGTTAATTTAATATATTCCTGAGGGTAGCGGAGAGCACGCGAGAGTCTAGAAAACTATCGATTTATAATCATGAAATTAACTTCTCCGTAATTTCTGTCACCGTTTCACGGTTTTCGCTTGCAATATGTTTGCTCCGATCTCCTCGACTCCAACTCTGATGATTGACGGTGAAAGTTGGAAGGCTGCCTAAGGCAGTCCCTATCTTCAATCCTGTCGGCACATTTTGTGGGGACTAAATTGCCTTTACTTTGTGTCGACTTTCAAGGACCCTAGAGACCCAGAGGTTGCATAATTTCGGGTAATGTTGAACCGCTAAGGACGACCGGGGATGTCCTTTCCACTGCACTGGATTACTTTTTAAGAGCGCTTGCAATCATCTGCAGCCTTTTTTTAATCAACTAAAGCGAAAACAACGCTTAATCCGAATGTGGCTTGAAGAAAGTGTCTCAAGTGCTTTTGATGTGCCCCTAGATTTTCGCCGTGAGTACGTGCATACTCCAAGTTTACGAGGTCCTAAAATGTGCATGTCTGCTGCGGACATACTGCAAGTCCATAGTAGCGCACACCTCTTTTTCATCTTCAAGGAGCCTCTTTTCAACAGAAAGTTTTGTTGCTGTGAAGCATGATGGTGATACTTCAACAGATGAGGTCCAATAGTAAGCTTTCAGTAGCAAGCAGCTACCTGAATTACCACTTTTTTCCAACTGGTTTACTTTGTAAGTGAAAAGAGCTACTCAGTGGTGGAACTTCAATTGAATGCTGGAGAAAAGGCCCCCCAGGCTAGATCAAATGTTCCTAAGCTAAAGGTTCCTAAGTCGAGTGTAAATGACAGGGTCGTGTCGGAGTAGTAGTGGTCTGTCATTCAATCCGGTCTACAATCACCTTTTCAATCCTATAAGAAGCAATTAAAATAATTGCTGAATGTGTCAGCGAATAAATTGACTATGAGGATTCAGAGCGCCTACTTGCTAACGAGTGAGTCTCCCTACAATCTATAAGGATACATATATTACCAATAAACAATCAGCTCATACATCAGCTTTGACAGGAAACGGGACTAAGTACCACACGTATTACAGATGGTTTAGCCTTAAAATCCATGGGGCGGAGGGATCCGGACCAGGTTAAGTGTTCGGGTTGACGCGAGGATAGGAACCTCCTGGAAGTTAACTCATTGCCACCCGTAGTATGGGCGGGGGTAACGTTCTGCCGCGTCTAACTCAGTTTTCAATGTAATGAAATACTTTAAGGTCTACCTCAAAATAAATGAACCTTGGAATAGGGGTAGAGAGCTTACCGTGTACATTATGTCTGTCCAGCCCTCCATAGTTATGCACTGGAACACTGTCAGCATCGCATAACCGATGTTGTCAAAACTAGTAATACCATAGTTAGGTCCTTCCCAGTAGCCTTTGCAAATATACCCGGGAGGACAGCGGAAAGCTCCTTGAGCAGCAGTGGTTGAAGCCTTGGCCGTACTCCCGTTGCCAACGTTGCATGGCACTAGAGACTTGCTATTGGGTATAGATTCGGGGAGGACCTCCGGGTTTCCTAAAAAAAAGCCAATTCGCGTACTTCTTTATAGGGTAAACATGCTGGAATATGGCTTACTAAAATTGCTAAGCAGTAATTGCAATGACATTGAAGCCTTGGAAATTATGATTAGTTATTTCATCTTCTTTCTAATAAAAAAATAAATACCTAGGTTAGGTAGAAGAAATAGGTCAGAAAAGAGTATACTCACAGCTCGATTTCCGCATGGTCGAATGTCAGATTTTGACAAGCTTTGCGGTCATATAAACCACTATTATCAGGAGAAATTACTAGATTAACCATATACTACTTTTCTTTATTCTTTCGATTGACATAGGTGCATATATACGTTGATTCAGCTCTCATAGACCTGATACACAAAAGACGCTGTTCAATGCGTCATTTTTTAAAACTCAGGCCTTTCTGATGTGTTGCGCTGGGTTGTGTTGTGTTATAGTCTTAAAATGTACAAGTACCAGCTTCCTTTAAAACACAACCTACATTTTTCTCATTTTTGTTTCTCAAATATGTTCTCATACGTTTTCTGCAGACCAGGTACTTTACTTATATTTCTTTCCTGAAGGTCCTCTGCAGCTAAGATAACATTCAAAACACGCGTATACGGCAGAATTTATTGGCGTTAATAAATTTCATGACAGCT